TTTATACAAAAAAAACCAAAAAAAAATTTTTTTGGATGAAAAAAAAAAAAAAAAAAAAAAAGAAAGATTGAAAGATTTAGCTTGATATTTTGGAGTTGTTGGTTTTGTTTGACTCTTCCTAGTTAGAAATAGAAATTAAGGATTGGGAGCAGTAAGATCCTGAGAAGATATAAAGCAACAGTTAAACCAGTATGACTTGCCTCACAATGAATGAATAAGCACATGCGAACAAACTATTTTTGCTGGGAACAACAGAAAGAAGAGAATGAATTTGCAACAAAAAGGGGTTAACAAGGTCCAAATACTTCTTTTATGATGGCATTCATAATGGTAAAAGCACAGCAGAAATTAAGAAAAAAGATATCAGACTGTGGAAACAGAATAAAAACAGATCAAAATATCACATTCAGATCAAGGCATGAGCACACTAAAAACAAGAATAAAAATATGAGTAAGTGATAAAGATTAACTTGAAAGTGACAAAAAATCAAAACTGAAAATAGAAAAGGAAGTGTAGTACAGATCTTCATATAAAAATTACTTAGTAAGGAAAAAAACCAGATCTGTGCAATACTGTAATTACATTTTCTCCTATTTCTACTGTTGATCAGGAAGAACAGAACCTACACAGCATTTCTTAGCGGAGTGAACATACAGGAGGTGTTTACCTGTACTATCAAGAGGCGGTAATGTCGGCTGCAAATCCTGATTGCAGAAATCAGTACGACAGCATTCAATTGTTCGACGTAACTGCGCTTTAGGTGAGTCCTGTTAAAGGAGAATTCAGTGAACATTTAGATTTTGAAGCTAAGACAGGGACAGGAGATGCTACAGTTACAACATAGCACAGACGAAAATGTAAGCTATTTTATTTACAAGGCACCTCAACCACACCATTTAATGTATGAGATCATTCTGCAGTGGCAGACATCATCTAATCTCTGAGTGCCTACATTTGATCTTGCATTTTTTTATATTTCATGGACTGTTTTTCACTTGTTGCACAGAAATAGACAATTTCTGCTTAAGTTGCTATTTTATACATGGGAAACGTCTTGAGCTTAGTTAAAACCTGTTAACCATATGTTAAATAAATACTGAACTTAAGACAAAAAACCCAATCCCTTTAGAAGTTTTCCTTTTATACTCATCATGGCAGCAGTATTTGCTTTAGAAACAGCTTCAGAATGCCGTATAAAAAAGGGAGGGCATAAAAATGAAATAAAGCAAGGCACTGGTATAAATCTCATTTTTTCACCTTGCACTGGAAGTCTGAACCTTCATACTTCATGCAGCCAGAAGCAAGTGTGGGTTCTCCATGTTCATCCTCCTCGATGATAGCAAAGCAATGCCCATTAGTTCTGCAATAAACATATCATGTGTGCTTTACCAGCATGTTTGTCATTTAATAGTCAGGATTAGTTGACCATGAACTCATTAAGAATTCTAGAATGAAAACTTTTTTAATACAGTGGTCACCATCCAGTTTGAGAATAAAAGACCCCCAATTAGAACACTATAGGGATGCTTTCTCACAAATACTCATTCATTCCCTCAACATAGATCTAAGGAAAACAAATTTAGAAATAATTTTGTTTGCCAAAAATCTATTTACATTAATTGCAAGAAACGCAGATGTGGAAACCATAATGCCAATAAGGAACCCTGCACGTAAACCCTGTGTGTTTTTCATTAATAGCTTCATTATCAGCATAATGACCTACCAGTTGCTAGGTCAGACAACAATTAATAAGGTCTATGCAGACTGCACACACTAGAGGGCAATAAAAACCAATAAATAAATACTAAGAGGCTTGAAAGACAAAATACTGGAACATTTTCTCAATTCAAAACTGTTTGTAAGTTACTGCCTGTGTTTACATTTAAAAAGACAGGAGTGTTTATTCTACCTCTTTGGGTTCCACAAAACCTGCCAAGTGACACCTTAGAGAGACTGAAACCTATGTTAAAGTGAAGACTCGAAGTACAGGAACAAGTAATGTTTTCAACTGTGTATATTAATTCTTAAGGAAGAAAACAGAAGGGCCTTGAACGTGGAATTGCAAACGGGGAGGAAAAAAAAAGAAAAATAAGGATGTTTCAGGACATGAAGAAAAAAAAAACTACCTTAAGCAAGCACATAACTTGTGCACAAGTCTGTTAGGCTTCTTATACCTAACAAAGATACAACTTCCCTCCTGTCTCTACATGTCCACAGGCTTTTCATTATTTTTCCCTGCCTTTCCTTCATAATCAGTAACTACTGAACATGTAACAAGAAGAATTCCCGGTAAATGGCCATGTTGTTTACATTACACTACCTTTTTGACTACTAGGTGAAGAAATAAGCAAACAGGTGGTCATGTCAGAAGGCTTAGATTTGGGTCACTTAATACTCACTCAGCTATAAAATACCACAGGGTTACTTAAAACCTCTGTCCTTCAAAGCAGTTGCTGGGCTTAAAATGATCAGTTGTAAATTGTTCTAGAGGTGTGGTGAAAACAGAGATGACCATGGGTTTTATAGCACTCACAGAAAGTTATCAATTATGGTCAGATCACCTGAGAGAACATTGGTCAGCCTCTAGAGGTAGTTTGGTCTCTCAAAACCCAAAATGATATTCTTCAAAGAGCCTCTCTATCCTGAATGCAACACTTACATGCATGTGTTGTTAATAGCATCATCTGGACAATGTCCTGAGCAGTAGCATTTAAGAAAAGGTAAGGTGTCCTCTGGAGCAAGTGTTACTCCATTTGCTTGTTTCTTTTGGTCAGAATTTGTCTTCATTCCTGTACCATGAAGCATGCTGTCTAGCTTTTGACCTGGACACAAAAATAAACAAAAAAACCCAACTTTGCATCTTTTTGACAACTGTTCAAGAGTTTTACAGGCAAAACATGACAACAATAATTATATTAATAATTGAAGTATGCAAGGCAATCTCCTCTCCCAAGATTATGGTAGAAATTTGAGTTAATTGAGTTAATAATTTTATTTTAGAAATACCTAGCTGACACATTTTGTACCTTAACAGCAGATGTCCCAACCATAATCAATATAAACAGAAAGATCTTTTCTCTTTTCGAGGCAGGGCAGAAAAGCAGTGGTGTAGCTGGTTAGAATTTTCTGAAGAAAGCTTCTCTCATTCGTGTGTTTAGAAAACCAAAATGCTGAGGGCTTGATAACCACAACAAGAATAATTTTATGCATGATTGAACATACTTAATATGCAATTTTTTAATTTTCTGAAGTAATTTTTTATAGATTCACAGTCTCATGGAAGAGCATATAATAACTCCAAAATCTCTGGGTTTTTTGATCTCTGTATGCATTAGTACTTCAAAACACAGCTAAACTCAATCTTGTTTGCAAATTAAATTTCAGTAAATGACATGAACATCCATCCAAACAAGCTTTCACAGAATACAAACAGGGCTACAATCATGTTCCAAGTAGCCCCCAGTTTCTCAACAGTAGCAGAGTTAAACATAATTTGATCTTGTTCATATTATTAAAGTGCTTTTGTGAATGTAGGCATTCACAAGAAAATATCAATCTGTTTTCTTCTAAGTGAAGAACATCCAGAACAAAAATGATGACCATTATCTGTCTCATTTGAAATATGCTATGTGATTACTATATGAGATGAGAACACCTTTACCCATCTCCTTCAGCTTTATCATACACAATTTTAGCTACAGGAAATCTCTTTCTGTCTACCACCTTGGCTCTAAATCCTCAAGGTATGAACCAAATACAGATAGAAAGCTGTGAACAAACTGATGCAGATTACAGAAAGGCTCTGTGTGAGGTTCTGTGTTGGCAAGATAAACCAGCAGCCAAGTCAGGACCAGCAGGAACTTTTACAAATTCAGTTATTAGTAAAAAAATGGAGGTCAGAATAAAAATTTCAGTTTTTCTAAGGAAAAGAAGCCTGACCAGGAAATGCACAGTCTCTTGGAACAGATTCTTGGGCTTCCTGTCAAACCTAGCAAACATGAGCTGTAGAATGATGAGAATATTAATGTTCTGTTGTACCTTGCTTGAAACATGTCCAGAAAAACTTGTTTAAAACCTTGTGCAGATACAGCCCACTGCAAAACTCTACTGTAATATCTACTATGTCATTCAGACAACTGCCGATTACATATTTGTAAAATTTGATCCTACTGTACTGAAAATAGCAGACTTGCAGATTTCCTCATCTGGTTAATACAGGACACCTAGTGCACTGTCCAACACAGCGAAGTAATGCAACTGTGCTTCTTCTGGATACAGCTAAGAGAATATTCCAAGAAATACACTATTTAACTAAACACTAACTAAACTGTTTTAGGCATCTGGTGACACTATACTACTTGATGATGTAATTAACTAAACACTGAAATCACATGTTTGTGATTAAACATATTTAATCTTTATGAATATATTATATTAATATATGGTTTTCAAAGAGTATTTCAGTAATGCCCAAGTTAAATAGTCCTGATCTATACAGACTGTTCACATGAAACAAGTTCCAATGCTAGAATAATAGTGGGTTGTAAGTATTTCTGATTTTACGAAGAGGAATCCTGCACAATTGGAACAGCTCCTCCATCCACCCCCTCTCTTTCTACATATTTCTTCCCAGCATAAACTGAAAGGTAATTTTAATACTGTGCTAGAGACATTACACAACATTCTGTATTCGCATTTAAGAGATCCTTACCTGCTCAGAGAACAGGTAATTCTGCTTCATATTTAAAGGAAAAGCCACTGCATATGCACAAATATTATCTGTCTCTCTAATTTTGCTGAACGACTACAGTATCTTTCCCAATTGATGTTATAAATCCCCTCTTCAGGGACATTCCACATGTTAAAAGTCTTTATGGTACTTTATGATCAGTGTCTTAAGTCACTCATCCATTTTCCAAGCCTGATCTCTGAAGGCAATGTTTTTTCAGTTCATTAGAGGAGAAATCCAAGGAACCCTTAAGCATGGCTTCTAGCTCAGAACAGAAAGAACATTTTTGTGTATGTCTGGCATCTCTTAAAACAGTGTAAGTCTCTGTAAACTAACACTGAAGCATGACTACAGGTATACCAACCTTTTATACTAAAAGTGACATGAAATACATTTTCCCTCTTCATTTATTAAGATGGATTGCATTACAAGATTTATGAAAAGCACATACCATATAAAATCCAAACCAGATAACTGTATTCTCAAAAAAACAGCATCTTTGTCTTTTGTTCAGTTTCTGTAGGCAAAGATTTTTATTCAAAGCAAGAACAGAATAAAATTTTATTATTTTTATTATGTGAAACACCATAGTGGCCTGCTTTCATCTTACAGGTAACACCTGAACTGCACAAAGAACAGGGTAAAAAAACCACTTGAATTTTTATTTTCTAAGACTGTAAGCAGGACTCTTCTTGGACAGAAGTTTGAGCATCCAGGGAAGAGAATAGAAAAAAATTTGAGGATGCTTGGGATTACTTCAGGAACCAGTTTTTAATTGCCTCCACCTAGGATACCCAACTGTATCCTTTACAGCAGTACTGCAATTTATCCTCAGCATTTCAAGGCAGATTAGTATCCATCTTAAAGTTGCTAGGTATGGAGATGGGAGTCAAGCGTGGAAAGACTTGGCTTCCATCCACCTGAGATGTAAAGAGGGCAAATGAAGGCCCTGAATTCACAGGATGCTTCATTGTTGTTTTTCCTGTTAATAGATACCAAGTAAAAGAACAAAAGAAAACTAAGCATAAGCCTAAAGAACATCTTGCTCCAAGGTTTATGTCCCCACCCTCAGAGCTCCAGTTCTCACACATTCATACTGCTGTATCTTTCCCCACAGGAGCAGGACAGAGGAACGGGATGGTAAATTTTTAGGGATCTTGTGACACTATGCTACTTGATGAAGTAATTAATCTCTTCCACAACACTTGCAGTCATCACTCTGCAGTACAGCTACAAAACATACAAATACAAATGTCACATAACCTTCAAAGGTGTAAGTGCAGCGTATTGTGCACTGAAATGCAGCACCCAGAGACTTCAGGCACAGCAAAGCTTCCTTTCCACTATTTCCTAACATCCACCTGCAAACTGCACAGAGCTGGTGGGGCAAAAAAATATACACGAGCAACAAATGAGCCATCACACACTGGAGGGCTTGTTCAGGACTCTGGATAACTTCCAGCCTGTTTATCCAGCCTTGAGAATGAAAGTATCATAGACTTCTAAACATACAAACTGCTCTGTAATGGGTATTTTACTGAATTACAAAGTTAGAACATTCAAGAAAATATCAGAGTAATGGTGGAACATTCTCTTCAGTGTAACACACTGGTGAGAAAAAAGCTGATGGAACTTCAAGTTCTGATTTTGTCTTTTGCTCTGCCCCATCACACACTGCATCATTGTAGAGTTCCACAAGTGTGAACAACTATTACAGACAGGACAACACTTAAATGGTTTTCTGTTTAAAATTAAACTTTATTTTAATAAAATAAATAAGAATTTCAAAAGTTAATAATGAAACAAATTGTTAAAATAGAACAACACCTGACAATATATCTTATCCAGCCTTTGATCAAAAATATAAATTATTCAAAGCACTACTCCCTCCAATCACAGAAAATAACTTAAGACTATAAAATGTATTTCAAAGAAGCAGAGGATATTAAAAATCTCACTGGGTTAGAAATCTAAGTCTACTTGAAAGCATGCTTCAAATATGAATATTAACATGGATAAACCTTAAAAATGTACTGTGCGTGACACTGCAGTGTTACTAATCACTAAAACCCAAGTTAACCTGCTTGCAACTCAATGTCAGGATACAGATATAATTTCATTAAGTCTTCTGATCTAAGAAAAGATTTGTGTCACCCATAAAAAAACCAGCTCTATGAAATGCAGAGACAGCAGTAAGTGAAAGAAGACAAATATAAAAGCAAAATTATGCCTACAATTTCCTACTTAATTTTATCCTCTCTTTCTCCACAAATCAAGGTCCAATATGGCTACAGAAGTCAAGTTGTTTGATAGCTTTCTGTATTCATAATATAGGTGTTGCCCATAAAAACACTTCTGTTCCATATTACATTAACCTTTAAAAGGATTTGTCCTAGCAGAACTACAGTGCTAGAGGCATTTCTTCGTAGCAACTCTGATCCATGCTTGTAAACTCCAAGAAATTCAATATTTAAGTAATAAGAATCTTTGTCAAAAGAGCCCCTTCACCTGCCTCTCTGCTGGTGCTGACAGACACTGAGGTCTTTTAATCAAAGATGAAAGTTGTACCAGCGCTCTTTATGTTGGATATGCCTTCCTTATGAAAAAGGCATACATTGATATTTTTATGTGGTAGTTTTAAATTACTTTTTCTTGCTTTAGGATGCAGATAATGCAAAATCCCCCACTCCAATAAGCACATTTCACATTTCACCTTTCTGCCTACCACAAACTTTCATAATGATTTAATTCATAGTGAATTAAACCTCAGTACAATAGACACAGCTTGAATACAATACTAGTACTTGCTCTTGAAGGACAAAAGTTCTTTTAAAAAATCAGAAAAATTGTATGTGGGCACAGAAAGTATCTTAAATGCTTCTACGAACTCTGTGTTTCGCATTCTAACTGTAATTCTCCCTATAGTGCTTTTTTATATATCAAGGCTGTGATCTCCAAAGACCAGGCATGTTAGAGGTAGCTCCATCTAGCAGAACTGGTTCCTAAAAATCACAGCATGTTCCCAGACTACTGGTTTAAGATCTCTCCTGCCCTTCCAGCTCTCCCAGGAGCTACACCAGTGTTCAACACAGACATGCAGCCCCTGCCTCCTCTGCTTCCCAACCCACAACCAGCCTCTGCTCCCACTTCCCTTCCCCAAATGTCACTTCTGAAGACTGTTCTGTTCTTATGCACTCGATATAAAAGCCAGAGACATGAAAATTTTGTGTGTTTTCCTTAAAAAAGTACACTGCATTCTAATTTAAATTAAATGGACTTTTAAGGAATAAAATTTCTTAAAACTAAATGCAAAAGAAATGGATCAACTTTTAATAATACCTTGAAAGAACTTTAAGCAGACAAATTCACAGGAACATGGTTGCTGCCCATGTTTTAAAGACAGATGCAGCCATTAAATGGGGAAATCACCAAGAAACAGAACTAGTGCTTTCAAGTAATGAATCAGCTACTGACAACTGTAAGTTCCTTCTATAGCTTTTAGTATTTTGTTTCAGATTCGTTTATACATTCAAATTCAGTACTTTACCTGAAATTAAGAAAGTGCATAAAGGTTTAAAATGTATCTTAATCTATACCTTATCTATATAAAGTATTTGAATAAGAGTAATTAGAGCAGTGAAATAAAATCAACAGGATTTTTTTTAGCTCACTAACCAACAGTGGCAACTTGAAGTCCATTTTAATATTTAATATTAACATTAATTATTTTTAAATTTGACTTTTAATATATCTTCATACATATCAAGTGGTATTAATACATTTTTAGCCAACTAATTTACAAGGATTAAAAATACTGGTCTTCTGTGGTGTCTCTGAAGAATACATAAAGATGTGATGAACCACATGGTAAGTAAACTGCCAGCAATGAAGTACCAAATTTATGAGAACATGTTAAAACACATATTAAGCACTTTATTACTGCTACATATATTGATCAGATGTGCTCATCAACGCACTGTAACAACAAAGAAAGAACTCTACTTGAAGTAAAACTGGTTCTCTGCATGAAAACCCTGCACTACTGGGCAGACAAAACTTGTTTAGTGCAGTCACAAGTGCGGCTGAATCCCAAAACCTCTTGCCTTAGATCAGAAAGAGGAAGTGGATGAAGATGCAGAGCAAGTCATAGACTTAAAGCTACTGCACAGGCCTTCCATAGCAAGAAAGGAAATAGAAAACAATTTAATTGAAGAGATTGCTATTAAATCTGTCCATCTGCAACCCAGGCTTATTTCTGACTAATTCTCAAAGTAAGTGAAGAAGTCCCAAAGCTATAAAGACACAACCCACCACAACCACTGTGTCACCCTACTGCATAGTACCAACCTGAGAAACTGCAGCTATTCACCAATGCAATAGAATTGCCTCTGGTTTCTGTTGTTATGGTAAGAATATTTTCACAGTAATCAACACATGCAGACATTTGCTTTTTCAAGTTACCTGTTAGGGAATCTGGTATGTATATATACATGCAGCTATACAGACATACTTGCTTTTATCATTCTCTCAGGTCTTGGTAAGCTCTGAAATTCCTAACATTCTGAAGAAGCCTCCAAAAAAAACCCAAGAGAGCAAACCATTAAGCTGGATGCCAGACACTGAAAGTACACACACTAGTTTCTACTTTCTCTACTTTTATTTCCATGAATTACAGAAATTCTCTTCAATTTACCCTAATGAATCTTTTTCACCTCTGTTGATTGATTTATGATGCATTTTCCTAACATCCTGTATATATTTTCCTTGCTGAAACTTAGTCAACTATTTAAACTTTTCACTTTACATTGTCTCTTTCCTAGAAAAATTTCAAATGCTTTATGCCTATGATCTTAATTCTTTCTTCCCCCATGAACGTAGGGACAAGCAGAGAGACTTGACTGGCTTTTTCCTCACCAGCCCTGGAAACCAAACATTTTTCATACATTTGAAGAAAAGCCCTTAGGCAACTTGCAAAGAACTAACAACACTTCGATAAGCTCAACTTTTCCATGGCTTTCAGAACTCTCTCCATATTGATTTAAAATTCAGGAAAATTTCTAATGTAAGGCAATTTCTTCTTTTGACACTGAAAAATAATTTTTAGTCTTTAAACTTAATTTATCTACATTACTTATTAGAAGTTATTTACTGAACTTTTTATTTATTATTTATTACTATTTATTGAATTTATTTATTAATCATCATGATCATGGAAGGAGTTAATATAATTTAAGCCACTAGAAGACCTATATATTTGTATCATTATTTCTATTTGTATCTAGAGAGAAAAGATAATCCTTCAGGTGCTATTGCCTATGAGTAAAATGATAAATATTGACTAATTCATGTGTGCCTGCTGGACGTGCATGGCACTGCTGCATATCTTTTTTTTTGCAATTTGACCCAATTTGACAGAGGAGTTAAAACTTCTAATGATAACTGGATTTCCAGAAGTTTTTGGTAATTGGTGTATGGAAAGACAACAGACACACAAATGAGTATCTTCACTAACTGAAAATGAGGGTATTTGTAAATAGTCCATAGCATCACCTTGGCCCATCAAGTAGGCATAACAAGTTAATTTAGATTAACTATGCCAGACTACCTCTCTAGGCTGCTGGGAGCATCAGAAGAAGAATTTTGCACGCTGCAAATTCTTCAGTGGGTCAGGTTAAAGGGATCGAATATTCACACATGGAAGAACTGAAATTCAGAAAGCCAAACCTTCACTTCTGCTGCTCATCCAGCTTGCTCTGTGGTGTACCAGGCATTTTTGGTATTCTTTCTATTTAAGTATTTGCTAAAACAGACCTAATCTATACTACAATGGATTACCAGGAGAACATCCTTCTTTTTTGGGAAGCATCCATATAGAGCATCAGGCTAGTAATATCATCTGCCTGCAAAAGAAACTTCAAAAGAAAAATATTCTACTTAAATCACTGGGAAACACACAACTCTGTTACAAATCAGAAAGACAAGGATATTTCAACTAGTTCATATTTACCTTGAACATGAAGAATGATAAGCAGATAGGCTCCAAGCAATTGCTCATGAACTCTCAATCGAGTCATTGTTCACTTTTAATCCTTCCTGTGCAGGGCGACCAGCCCTTCTGCTCGACAAATGCTAAGCTCAGTCTGTTTGGTGAAGTCTAATGAGATTCGGTGCTTGACTGCAAGGATGCTCCTGTAGCTTTTCCACCTTTGTTTCCTGGAAAATACAACAAAACAAAAAATGTTTAAAAACTTCATGTATTTGTGAAACAAGAAAAAAACCCTCCAGATAGTCATCAAGCTGAGCATAAGCAACAAACCCAACAAAAACCCCCCATTTGTTTATTAACATTAGTAACTGAAAACATTAGCTATGTTTACTATTTAAGTGAATAGCAGGGTTCTTCTGAAATACAAACATTTGGTAACAACCCAGAGGGATGTTTTTACATTCCTAAAAAAAAATATTAGATATGTCAACTCATAGGTCACAGCTATATAATTTTAGATTTGCATATAACTGTTACAGGTAGTATTCAACAGATTTAACATGTAAATCTGTTAGAAAACGATTTGTTTTATAGAAATGAAAACTTCTTTTAATGATTTTAAAATTAAACTCAAGTGCTATAATACTCCCAAAATACTGGGTGGGGGAAACAGCAACACCATGTTAGACCACCTGTTGATACCTGCTGGTAGAGAAGCATTATTGCAAAAAAAACCCCAGCCTCTCTGCTGGATGAAAACCAAATTTGTATTAAACTTAACAGTCAGTTTGGTTACCTAATATACTTATCTTATTACTTTTTTTCCTCCTAGAAGAGTACTGCATCTTAAAAATATAAAAAAAGACAGCACTAACTGCAATTCAAAATCATGACATCCTGGATTCCCAAGCTGTGTGCAAATTAATTCCTCCTGAAAAATTACACTAGCATATGCACATGCCATTTGCTCCACAAATAAAACATAATTCTACTCTTGTGCAGTGGGTGAACACACGGCTAAGACACCTAAACCGAGCAAGAAGTCACTTTTTCAGACTGCAGTAGCTGTGGTCACGTCCTGCTTACAGAACTTTTCAATGGTGATGCACAAGGGGAGCGTAATTGGGCCTCAAAGGACTAAAAAGCAGCTTGAACACCTCAATAGTTCCTTGCAACAAAAGCAAAGCTGCACAAAGATGAACAGAGCCCTGATTTTGCCTCTCCTTGGCCTCATTTCGGTGGGGTTGACCCCCCTGACCCCTGTCAGCCTGGCGCTGCTCATGAATGCTAGAACGGGCGTTCGCTCGGGGATGGGCAGCAATTACTGTTGGTGGCCGCTTCCAGCATCAATAACTCAATCTGTCTGTCGGTGAGACCCAAGAACTTTTCATTTTAATGAGTCTTCTGAGGCATTTAACATGGAGGCAAATTAGCGGCTGAGCCGGGAGGTGTCCGTCAATTCCAATTTCGGCAGGCGCGGCGTGCCGCCCCGACCCCTGGCCTACTTTTCACACGTCTCTGACTTCTCTCTAATGCAGCCACAAAAAGGGAGCAGGGTGCCCTGAGCACCATGGCAGACATGGCCCTGGCCAGGATTATTGCTAGGTTCTGGTGGGATGAACTCGGAATTGTGCACTGTGCAAACGTCCGGAGCACCAGGAACTTCAAAGTAAACTTCCTGGCCAGGCAGAGGGAAAAGCGATGTGACAGCAAAAATACAATTCTTTGGTGTTCCCTAATGCACAAGACACAGCACCAACTCTGACAGTTAATAAGGAATGTCCTTCTAGCTATAAAACATCAGGCCAGCAACGTGAGTAAGTATTAATGCTTTATTCTGTGTTTCAAAGGCAATGAACTTCCAATACTCAATAAAACATATGGAAGTTGAAAACTGCCAACAGCTTTATGCAGCAATAATAACAAGGGCTTTATTTACCATATTCTAGCAAGCAAAACCAAATAAATCTCAGTAATAGTCTGTTAAAAGCATTTTTAAAAATAATTTCTGTCTTGTCCAGTTTCAGAAGGAATATATACTTGCACTCTTGTACATTGTACGAGTAGGAGTGTTTAAAATTTGGCAATATTCTCCCCCAGTTCACCAGTGGGCACACTGGCCCAGGAACATGTATTTGCCACTGTACCACACAGCATGTTACTAAAAAAGCCCAAGGAAAAATGGAAGAAATAAACCATTTAAATGCAACTCACTCCAATTTCACGGTGATTTTTGTTCAGTGACATACTAAAGAAGTTTCCAGAAATGCTGTCCAAGCCTATTCAAAACATAATGCTCTCCGCCAGTATTTTGTACCTCAATCTTCCTTCCAGTAATATTTCCCTTTTCACACACACACATATATATATACATATATATAAAATATCATCGTATATAAAACCATGTAATAAAAATCAAAGAGAACAAATTTTAATTCCCCATTTTAAAACAAAAAATACCCTTTCCAGACTCATATTAAAGAGGAAGACTAGCAGCCCTGGCTAAGGCACTAAAACTGGAAGAGCAACAGCTGGAATTTCTCCAAAACCTGCCTGATATAACAGTTTAGAATGACACAACTAAATAACCTCTTCAAATATATTGAAGCACCGATTAACACACGGAATGCTACTCTGCCAACAGAATCATGCTGAAGAGATTCAAACCCATAAGTTAATCAGTTTAATTTTGAAGTTCTCAATCTCTTCTCTACCACACCCACAAAGAAACATTCAACTATAATCCACTAAAATGTAATTTATTCATTGATGCTAACACCTGAATTTTCTGCACTGTATTTTATTATCCTTCCTAGTAGCAGTTTATTGAAGAAAATTCTTTTACTATTAAAACTGAACTGGAACTCAGCAGTGAATTCACAGCATTATTACAGCAGTCCAGCCCTATGTTCTGTATGACTCCAAATATATGAAGTTGCAGTGTGCAAGATCTGTCATATGGCACAAACCAAGTCTGAAAGCATGGAGTTCAGTGCTAACTGTTCTTTAGATGTGGCTATGTAATATTTTTAACAGCATGATCCCCAAACCAAGTGAGCTGTGCTGTTTCAAATTTCAATGATAGTGCTGAATGTAACAACAAAGACAGTATTGTATAAGGGGAACACATGAAAAAAAGCCAATCTTAGACTTCACAAGAATTAGAACATACAATCCATTTCAACAGACAAGATACTTCAAACCATTTGCAGCAGTACATGTAACACCAAGTTAATGTATTTAAACACAACAAAACTAAAACTTACTAAATTGTTCTCTGATGTGTAACTGGGGCAAGAAGCAACTTAGGTAACTGTAAGCATATTACCTCAATCACAGGTACAGTTTTGAACAGGACTTTGAGATGAACAGAATGCCAGAGATAAACTGAACTGTCAGTCTAAGTCAGTGCGCAGCAACAACTTCCCTGGAAGATTATGAAAAAACCTGATATGGTGCCACAAAGAAAATTACTCATTTGGATGAAGAAAAGAGGGATTATAAGAACAGTAAAGAATTCACTACAGGGCAGACAAGTAGTTTCAAGAACAGAGATTAGTAGCCTAGTTCAAATGGCATTTGAGGACCTTCATTCTTGATTCAGCTTGACTGAAGAATACTCACCCTTTTCATTAATGAAATAGGCACAGAAAGCAAAAATTTTAAAAAAAATTGCTGACAAACTGTCAGTTCAGCTGAGTGTTGTTTTTATGCAGGAAGATTTGGATCATGTGAAGAACTGAAGTAACAGAAATGGAATGAAGTACAACAGCATGAAATTGGAAAAGTCATGCATATTGGTAACTGAGGAATTTCTGCTTCACACAGACTAGAAGCTTACACATAAGAGACAGCTATGTCCAAGGACACCAACTGATTACAGAACATCAGACACAGCCATGTGATGTGGCTGGGAGAAGACACAAACACAACTCTAGTATTTCCTAGGGAAATTTCCCAGGGAAAACAGTAAGGCATGACTAGCACAGAGACAATATGATCAACAAATTCAACATCCATCTAGAAGGGTACTATCTCAAGGAAAGAAAGACATGTGGAGATAAAAAGAAAAGAAAAAATTGTAATTAAGACAGTTAAAATTGATGGGTGAATAACCACACTTTGACAATATACCAGGAATAAACACAATGAAAGACAGACAGCTATTCAACCTTAAGAAAATTACTGGTTCAACAACTAGGTATGGATTAGCCATTAAAATTCGTTTAGATCAGAAATCAGAAGACAATTCCTAACCACTAGTTAGAAGGTTGTAGGGCAGATTTTCAGACTAAATAGACTTCAAAAACTTAATTAAGTCTTTAGTTTACAAAGGCCACCATCTCATGTGGCTACAGGTATCAGGACAGTAATGAACTGATCTGGGACTACATTTCATTATTCTTAATACAAAAATAACTGTTGTTAGCTTCAGTTTATCCAAAGTCAAACAGTAAATTTAACCAAGCCTGTAACAAGAAGAAAGTTTGAGATTGTGTATTGTGTAATTCTGTCAAATACTTGTACAAACCTACTTTTCAAATGTGTTTTGATTATTCTATTGCAAGGCATGCTTACACTAATTGTAGAAAAGTGTCACAATGAAACACTGTGACAGTGTTTCATTGAACTGTCTACCTACTACCTACGCTTGAGTGCTGTCAAATATGTTAAATTAAATGAACAAGGTAAATCCACCCCCCAAAATCTGTCAAGAAATCCTACAGCTGATGGAGAAGACTGCTGGCTACACAGCCATCAACAAAAACAACTTCACATAAGGCCCTATTTGTTTGGGCACTAATCTGTTCAAGCTCACAGAAATAATTCCCCTGAACTTTGGCTTGTGTAAGAATTATTTCAAACTATTCCTGATTGCATAAATTTAAAAGCCAAGAGACTGTAAATTATACAAAAGTCTTTTCTCCCTCTATAAACTGAAATGAAATCTGAAATCCTAAATGAAGCACATTTGTATGCATTATATACTTCTCAAAAGACTGAAAAAATAAATCTTAGTTCTCTCTGTAATACATATAGAACCATGTGTTTAGAACATGCACTGCAACACATTTATTCATTCAAAAAACACAAGACCCTAGGAACAGGTTTTCTGCAGCAGGGGAGCTCAAAGTCTTCGAAAAGGACTTGTTATTTCTGATCAGTGGGAAAAGCCACCAACTCACCTTGGACAGTCAAACAGACATCTCCTGAAAGGAAGATTTCC